CCTGGCCTAGGACCGGGAACTTGAAGTTACTCCAGTACTCCACTGGGTGTAGATTATTGTCTGAACAGGTATGAGTGGAAACACTGACAACAAGTTAATTTTTAATTCAGTGTGTGATTAAATGAGTTGTGATGATTGCGTCTCTGGCATTCCTATGGTAAATATTTTTGTAGACATGTCAATTGTTTGGGGTTTGTTTTGAATTCCAGTTTTCACCCGAATCCACCTTGACCCCGGTTTCCAGTAAAGTACAAGTGTTGCATTTACTGTTCTCAAACTTGAAGCTTTTCTCTTTTTACGTTGGAAAGGTGCGGTAAGGGCCGTATCCGTGTAAGGAACTGCAAACCTAGTCTAGCAGGCACCCTCCTGGCTGGCAGAGGAGAGCGGTGTGTTTCCGTGGGGGCTGAGCTTAGCCATCGTTTTCCGGTTGGAATTGCTGATCAGCAGGTTTTGCTGATTACAGCTGATGAAAATCAGCCTTTCTTTTTAATAATGTTTTGCATGTGTGCTCTAGGAACAAGATTGAAGTCGATTGCTTCGTTTGAGGTTTTCTGTTGTTGACTTTAAATTGCAATTGGAGTTGGAGCTTTAAATCACTTTGATCCAGATCAGTCCGTTTTCGTAGATGCTGTAAGAGGTTGCAGAAAACCTTACTTTCTAATGCTATATTAGACAGATTTTCTCTGTTTCTGCATTTTTCCTGGGGCTGTCTTTGCCGGTGCCTCCTCTATCGCTGATGCAATCAGTGATAGCGCTTGGCTGGCAGCTAGCGGTATGTGCACCTACCTGACACAGCTTGCAGGGAGGAAACCACACAGCCGTTATGTGCACAGAACAACACAAAATGAAGCTTTCAAAGATTTTCATGCCCTTTCCTTGCCTGTCTGACAACGTTCACTACTCTAATCCTCATCCCCTGTTCTTCCATTGCTAGTTGCGCTGTCTTAGTGCCTCTTTATGAAGGATCTTGAGGCCTGCAGGCTGTCTCTGGTTCTCTGTGTTCCTGTGCCCTGAGGTTTTGTCTAGTGAGTGTTGTACGAGCAGCAGGGTGGCTGAGGGTCGGGAGGAGCTGTGACGGGGCTAAGGGTCCCTCGCTGACAGTCCCTCCTTGCCTCTCCCGTAGCCTCTCCCTACAACCGCTGCAAGGGCAGTATCTACCTTGTGTTTGACTTCTGCGAGCACGACCTGGCTGGCCTTCTCAGCAATGCCCACGTCAAGTTCACGCTCTCGGAGATCAAGAAAGTTATGCAGATGCTATTGAATGGACTTTACTACATCCACAGGAACAAGGTAATGGGCCAGATCTGTGCTGTGCTCTGAGGTCACCCTCCTCTCTGTGGCCTTGCAAGGAGCGGGTGTCTTAGCACAGGCTGGAGGGAAGTTCATCCTTGTCCTCCACCTCCGGAGTCTGAGTGCCCTGCTGGCACCAGGCATCCAAGGAGGATACCTTAATGGCTTAACCTTTCAATGTCTGTCCTCGTACAGATCTTGCATCGAGACATGAAAGCTGCGAATGTCCTGATCACGCGGGATGGAGTCCTGAAGCTTGCGGACTTTGGGCTGGCCCGAGCTTTCAGCCTGGCTAAGAACAGCCAGCCAAACCGCTACACTAACCGGGTAGTGACTCTGTGGTATCGGCCACCAGAGCTGCTCCTAGGTAGGAGGTGATGGGCTCTGCTGGCTTCTCTGCCCTTCTCGTTCCCCCGGGTGACTAACACAGCATCTCCGTTTAGGGGAGCGGGACTACGGTCCCCCCATTGACCTCTGGGGTGGAGGCTGCATCATGGCAGAGATGTGGACCCGCAGCCCCATCATGCAGGGGAACACAGAGCAGCACCAGCTCACCCTCATCAGCCAGCTCTGTGGATCCATCACGCCGGAGGTGAGGGCGAGAGCGTGGGCAGGCTGCGGAAGGGGGGAGGAGAGCTGCAAAGCAGGTGGTGTGGGCAGGGTCTGGGACCAGGCACTCCTGGACCTCTTCCCCGCCCTGTGCGCTGGCTGCTGCGCGTTCCTGGCACCGGAGTGTGCCCGCTGCTGGTAGGGAGGCTAGGGAAGCTCCTGCAAATGCTATTTACCTCCTGGGAGCCGAGTGCACAGTGGGACGCTGCACTTTCCTGGCTGCTTTGTGTAAACTACAGCTGTCACGTTACTTGCGTTCAACCTCCTAAACATAAGAGGGTGAACTTGGCCTCCCAGACCTCCTTTGGGAGGGGCGAGTCGGGTTCTTGTTTTTGAGCACAGAGAGGATGCTGGCTGCTCCGAGTGTGAAAGAACAGAACGTTACGTGTAGAAATCTGTTCTAGTCTGTGTTTGGGGGTTCTCTCAGATAAATGCCCTCTGAATTTCTGCTTAAAGAAGTTTTTTTTTTTGTTTTGTGTTGAGGGGTTTGTCTCGGGCGCTTTGCACTGGTCACCTTGAAAAGCCTCTTTAATTCTGGCTTGTGATTTGTGGCATCAGCTGGGGCCTGGTGTGAGCACTCAGCCCTTTCTCAGCTCCTTAACGGCAGCTTGTCCTGCCCTCTTGTGGGGGATCGAGCTGAGGGATCTCTTGGCCGGGGCTGTAATCTAGGGGGTGCGATAGGCACGTGGCTGTGCAGGCAGCTGCAGAGGCCTGATGCCTCTTACATACACCATGTACATACATTGAAGGTGTTTTCTTTTGTATGTAAATACCTGCCGTGGTCTCTCTCAGACCAGGGTTGAGGTAAGTGCTGGTGATTGCAGCCGGCTTTGCTTTCTAAGGATAAAAGGTACCACATACATCCAGGTTGTTATTTAGCAGTAAGTTTTGTCACTTCACCTTTCTGGTTGTTGTAGCTGGCCTGAGCCATGCTCTCTAGTAGCTCTTTTGTGGGAGAACCAGAAATCCTGGAGCATCCTGCATGCCATTCCCACACCAGGAGGACTCTGTCCTGACTTGTCCACATGTCTCCAGGCTTTAGTGCACTCTTTAGGGCCTCCTCCATGCTGTGGGAACAAGGTCTGCCAGCTTGGAGGTTATAAAATAGTATTGTTCTCGCGGAAGACCTCGCCCTGGTTTGCCTGAGGGTGTTAGCATCAAAAATGGCTTGTCCTCTCCTCTCCGTAACTATTTCTTCCCAACCTTCCCTTCCTGCCCCTTCCCAGGTTTGGCCGAACGTGGATAAATACGAGCTGTACCAGAAGCTGGATCTCCCCAAGGGCCAGAAGCGCAAGGTGAAGGATCGCCTGAAAGCCTACGTTAAAGACCCCTATGCACTCGACCTCATCGACAAGCTGCTGGTGCTGGATCCCGCCCAGCGGATCGACAGCGATGATGCACTGAACCACGACTTCTTCTGGTCAGACCCCATGCCCTCGGACCTCAAAAACATGCTGTCCACCCACAACCAGTCTATGTTCGAGTACCTGGCCCCACCGCGCAGGAGGGGTGGGCACATGCCCCAGCAGCCGGCTAACCAGGGCAGGAACCCGGCCGCCACCAACCAGACTGAATTCGACAGGGTGTTTTGAGCGGGGGCTTCCCCAGCGGGGTCCCGGCTGGGCTACTCCGCAGGTTGCATTCAGCGGGGATGTCCCGGCGAGGTCTTTCCGTCTGGGAAAGGACTTTCTTCAAGGCGAAGTGCCTGCTGGCTTTAACCGAGCTCTGCCGTCTCCTCTCCTTGTGCAGCAGCTCAGCCACCGTGGAGCTGCGTGACTGGGGAGGTGACGCCTGCGAGCCCGGGGTTGTCTCTCTGCAGCTTTGGCACAGAGCCTGTGTCCCCCCTGCAACAGTCTGTATTGTTACGTTAATCTTGTGGATCGATCGTTATGGACCCGGTGGTGGAGAAAGCGGCTCTGTCAGTGCTGGGGCTCTTGGCAAGCGGTGCTGTGACCGGCAGGACTGGGGGTAGCTGCCCTGGACCAAACTGGGCCCTGCTGGGAGATGTCTCGGCTCTCTCGGTTGGACGTAGCTCCTGCGCAGCGTATCCTTTGAACGCCGAAGCGCTGATGCAGGACGAGGCAGGTGCTTCTGAGTAATGCAGAGGTGTCCTGGGGAAGGCAGAGTCACTCTAGACAGCATGACTAACTCTCACTGGAGTTTGGGTTCTAGCCTAGAAAGGGGCTTGCTGGGCAAACCAGAGGGGGTGGTTGGCAGAGCTGGTTGCTCCATACAGCTGGGATTTACAGTGGGAATCGTTGGTCTCTGTAACAGCACGCGGCGTCCACGCTTTCTTCGTTGCAAACTGCAATTATGAGTCTTGTTGGACACACCCAGCCTGCTGCGTGCTTTCCCCGTAGTGCTGGCTGTGGCAGGGGTTTGGATGGGGAAGGGAGGTGCGAGTGCTGGCCTCAGCTTGGGGTGAGACCTGCCGTCCCGCTGTCTGCAGGGATTTCACGAGTGCTGGGAACACTGTGCTGGGAGCAGGGTGGCTTTAAACACTCGCACGTCCACTCCTGTCCCGGAGCTTTTTGCACAAGTCTAGAGCGAGACCGCTGCCTTCCCTGCGTGCAGTGACCAGCCCGATGCACTGTGGTGGTGTGCGCACGCCTTCTGCCAGAGCTTGTCGGGACCGACTCGTACGGAGCGAGTGCTCCTTCACAGCCTGCCGCAGCGGAGCTGCTCACTGAACACTGTGTCTTCCATGGCTGTCAGCTGCAGCTGGTCTTCTCGGTGAGCCCCATGGATCCCAAGACTTTCAAACAAATAACGTGTACGAAATGCAGCGGGTGATAACCTTTGGCATTTGATAGGTTGTCCATTAACTAGACTAATGGCAAAAGCCACGTTGGTAGCGTAAGGTCTCAGGGGAGGAAGCGGTGGTGAGCGGGGCCGTTCTCAGGACAGAAAGTGAGGATGATAAAGGACGTGTACAAGGTAAATCTCTCTCTGTGCGGGGCTCTGAAACAGTGTCTGGTTGGGGGGGGGACTTGGTTTCTTTGGAAAAAACGAAGTCGGTTGCAAGCAATAAGCCAGTTGACTTCTGCCGGTTGTGAATAAACACGGTCCTGTCCCAAACAGCTGGTTTTAACCTTGTGTCGCTCTTCTGCCTGAACGGAGAAAGCAGCCGGAGTGCTGTAAAACAGCACCTCTGTGATCTGCGAGGACAGGCGCCCAGGTTTGGGTTCAGACGGTGTAAGTCCCCTCCTGGGGATGCCCGGGGCGCCCAGGTTTGGGTTCAGACAGTGTAAGTCCCCTCCTGGGGGTGCCCGGGGTGCCCAGGTTTGGGTTCAGACGGTGTAAGTCCCCTCCTGGGGGTGCCCGGCTCTGTCTGCCCCGGTGCTGTTAACGGGAGGGAGGCTCAGCGCAATCAGCGCTGCAGTGGATTAACGCAGCAGCACGGCTGGCGTGAGCAGAGGAGGGTGTTGGGGGCAGCCCGGCCGCTCCGCTGGCAGCGGGTGAGGGTGATGCTGCCCGGCTGGGGGCCGGGGGGGCCCCCTGCGCCCCAGAGCAGCCCCTTGTGCCCCTGTGGTGGGCTGTGCGAGGCCGGGGTGGAGGACGGCGCCGGCCAGGGGGGGCAGACCGG